GGGGGGGGGGAGGAAAGTACATAGTCAGTGAAATCTTTGAACAAACATCCAATTTAAACAGAGGGCTTACCATTTACAAGAGAATAATTATTCTTTACATTTACACAACCACTGCCTTCTTCAAATATCCCATAAGCACATTATTATGTTTAGTTTTCACACCAAGCCTGAAGGCTGGACAACACACCAAGCCTAAAGGCTGTCCCTCTGTTTTCTAGATGACATAACTGACTCTCAGGAATGTTAATGATCTACCCAGCAGCCCAGTCCAAGCCTTTTGGATATTGGCATGCTGGTGATAATAAACAGAAACCATTAAATCATCCTTAGCTGTGGTAAGCACTTAAGAGATACTAGTTAGTTCTGTCCTTCTAACAGCACTTATTTGATAAATAAGGAAATGGAGGCACAGAAAGGTTGATTAATTTGTGCCAGGTCCCACAGTCAAAATGAGAAGGAACTGGGTGCTTTGGCAGGGTACCACATGAGAGCTTTCACACATAGGAGTTAAGAAAACATCAGTTCCATTGTGTTAGCTGTGCGTTACATTTTAAAATTCTGACAGCTGTTTACAGCAAGTATTTTCAATGATGGCAGATGACTTAGAATGCACTGTTGGATTTTTCTATATTTTATATAGTCAAAATATTTATCTCACATTTAAATACCTTGAAAGCTTGTGGTGTCTAACCATTTTAGAGTGTACAATTGCACAGTTCTGAGGAGCTGAAATAGTACTGGAATTTAGGTCAAAGATGATGTGAGATCAATTTTGCTGTACTATGACTACAAATATACCTTAGAGAAAGGAATTGGTTGTTTTAGGTGAACGGCAGACTTATAAACAATTGAATCTTAGAAGAGTGAGGCTTTTCTGTGAGGTGTTCACAGTCAAGAAATTATACTATCATTTATGATCCCGAGTCCTTCTACACATTCAGCCCACAAAATCTTACTCCAAAAGCTGTCACGCGGTCAGTTCAGAAGAAGCAATCCTAAATGGAATAACTTAATTTGACCCTCAACTTTTACCACTGAACTTTCTTAGTAATATACTCCTGAGTAGAAGAGCTATTTACTTATGTCTAATCATTTTTAAGTTGGGTCACAGGTAGATTCAATTTAAAAATTTACTTACAATACGTCTGTACATGTCCATGTCTTCTTTGGAAGTCTGTCTGTATCAAAAGCATCACAAATTATAGAAAAATGAAATGTAGCACGAAATGCATGGAGCACAAGGTAAGGATAATGAAAGGTGTGAGGTAGCAGAGTTCCAGCAGTACTGGAGCAAAAAGGGGACCCAAAAAATGAGTTTAATTGTTATTTGCATACTAAAGTTGTGGAAAGACTTTTAGTCAGTGACAGATCCAGGAACCAATCTCGTTATGTTATAAACAAGAACGTATTTAAAAATGCATGTATGATGATGGGAATTTCTCAAATATCTATGCAATCATTAAAATTAATAGACTAAGCTAGGAGTGGTGGTGGATGCCTTTAATTCCACTATCCCTGAGACAAAAGCAGATGGATCTCTGTGAATTTGAGGACAGCCTGAGATCATAAAAATATATAATAAGTTCCAGGATAACCAGAACTTACACACTGATACAGTGTGGAGAGATAGAGAGAGAGAGAGAGAGAGAGAGAGAGAGAGAGAGAGAGAGGAGAGAGGATGGAAGGAATTAAGGAAGGAAGGAAGGAAGGAAGGAAGGAAGGAAGGAAGGAAGGAAGGAAGGAAGGAAGCAAAGAAGGAAGGGAGGAAAGAAATAAGGAAAAAAGGAAATAAGAAAGAAAGGGAAAAAAGGAAAACACTGGCTTTTATACTCTGACATAGAAGGTGTGTATGATGTAGTATGAAACAGGAAAAGAAAGTTGTTAAAGAATATATAGTGTAAGAAGTCTCTTACTAAATACATTGGAAAAAACTACAGGAATATATGACATTAGATGTTCACAGGCATTCTTCAATCTATTCTTTATAGATTTTCAATATCCATGTTATAGGTTTCTATACATTATTTCTATATATATTTTACAATGACCACATTATTACTTTTGGTTTGAATAAGCCAACATGTGACTTTTAAAAACAAAATTGGAAACTATGAATATCTATTTGCTTTCAGACTTTTGGTGGGGAGGTGCTGAATTTTTGGTGTCTAGTCAAAATGCTTACATTGAAGCCTAATATTCTGTGAGTTGATATTAGGTGATGAGCTCTTTGGGAGGTAACTAGGTAAATGAGGTGGAACTCCTACAATAGCATTTGTGAACTAGTGAACATTGTAAGGAAAGACAGAAGTGCTTCCTGTCTGTGTTCCTTGGCATGTGAAGATGAAGTGTGAGGAAAATATTTGCTGGGGCTAAAGCCAACCAGTCTCTAACATGTTGTTTTGTTTTGTTTTGTTTTGTTTTGTTTTGTTTTGTTTTGTTTTGTTTTAGCCCAGACTAAGGCAATACACTATGATGATCTTCATTTATGCATAAACTTTCATGAACATATTGTTGTTTGAACATGCAAGAAAAATCAAAAGGCCAACATATAGAAAGTAAGCAGGCATATGGAGGGGCAGCCACACATGGCACTGTGTGGCACTCTAGTGAGAGGTGTCTGGGTCCTGCCATCAGAGGCTTTATAAATAAGCCAAAGCCTTTCTCACACAAGAATTTTCACTCTCCTGAAACTGAATTTATTACATGGAGAGTGAGATGCTGCAAAATGAGTCTGCTTTCACTGGTTCCTTTCTCGTTTTGTTTTGATTTGTTTTGTTCTTCCCTTGGTTTTACAACCTACAGTGAGACAAATGTGTTCTTCAATCTTAGATAACAACAAGGGAAACTCATAGACCCAGGTGGTCCCTCCATTTCCCTTCAGCTCATGGAAGAAGTCATTTACATACCTGCTCTTAATTTCAATACGCAAGTTAGCAAGAGAAAATTCGCTGTTTTGAAACATGAAATTCAACTAAAAAAAAAAAGTGAGAGAGAGATGGTCAGTTTGTGTAGCCACTCTTCTGCTTTAACTCAGTGGTTCACAGGACAATGTGAACTGCAGTGTCATCTCGGTGAGCCCAACCTTCCCAAACCTGCTCCAGTTTTTTCAGTTACCATTTTTACACAGTTGGGAGATAAGCTGCCCTCCAGTGTAACTTCAACTAGGGAAGCCCTAACCTGCAATCTGGTTCTATTGGTCGGTAAAGTCATTAGAGGAGTGCTTAAAGTTAAAGGTAGAAGCCAAATCCAATATGAACTGTTACCCTTCTAAGAGGATGGAGAGAAAGTAGTAGTGTATGTGTACAGAAGAGATACCATTGGAGGGCACAGCAAGAAGGCCAAACAACGAAAGCTCACCCAAAGCCACCCCTTCTAGACCTTTTCTCTTGAATGTCTACCCTGTCCTGACTCCCTTCTAGAACTGTGTGATGACAAATGCCTGTTTTAAAGCCACTCTGTTGGTGCATCTTTGTAAGGCAGCCTGAACACTCTGAAACACTTATTTTCAAGGGCTTAGAATTTGGTCATACACACTTAAATGTAAGTGCTAATGGAGAAAAGGAAAAGCAATCTGATCATTCGCTGCTGAGCCGAAGGTGTGCATTGATATTGTTAATCCTCTGAAGACCATTTTATGATAATTATTCAAATGTAAAATGTTCCTGACTTTTGATCTAGTGATTTAAAATTTAAAAATTAATATTATAAAAATATTCAAGGGCCTCTAAAATAACTGGAAGAGCATTGTTTGTGGAACCCTTTAAAAATAGAGAAAAAAGAATGTCTACCAATAAACATCTAGATTTGAAAATGAAATAAAAGTCTTTGTTACAGACATGCAGTAAATTCTTATGCTTCTGTTAAACTGTGTGTTATAGAGCTATTTCCACTACCACGAAGATGATAACTGCATAATAATGTGTCCCTGGTGTTCATCGGTTGTGTAAGATGTTTGCCTAGTCTGTATAGTGATTTGGGTTTGTTCCCCAGAATTGAAAAATAATCCACAGGTAACTGGCAAGGGATCAAACTAAAAAGTGGTTTAACAAGTATGATACAATTTCTTTTTCTGAAAGAACACACATCCATGACAGTGTAGATAGTAAGACCTGGAGAGGACAGGAGCTCCACAAGGAGAGCAACAGGACCAAGAAATCTGGGCCCAGGGATCTTTTCTGAGACTGATACTCCAATCAAGGACCATTCATGGAGATAACCTAGAACCCTTGCACAGATGTAGCCAATGGCAGTTCAGTCACCAAGTGGGTTCCCTAGTAATAAGAGCCAGGACTGTCTCTGACATGAACTGATTGGTCTGCTCTTTGATCACCTCCCCTGAAGGGGGAGCAGCCTTACCAGGCCACAGAGGAAGTCAATGCAACCAGTCCTGATGTGACCTGATAAGCTAGGATCAGATGGAAGGGGAGAATGACCTCCCCTATCAGTGGATGGGGGGAGGGGTATGGGAGAAGAGTGAGATTGGGAGTGAATGAGAGGGGGGGCTACACTTGAGATACAAAGTAAATAAACTGTAATTAGTATAAAAAATAAAAATTAAAAAAAGAAAAATTTCACAGAATACACTTCAACTTAAAAGCAGCAGTAGAGGTCAGACATTGCCTGTTTTGGATGTCTTTATATGAACTTCAATTGCGCAGCATATATTAATTTTATAATAAAAAAACATAAAAACAAGCAAAATGTCCACTGTGTTGTAGAGGAAAAAAATTAAAGTATGGAAAATAAAGCTACATAAACACTATGCATAGATTTTGTTATCACTGCTCTATTTTTCCGAACTAAGGAGATTTGGCAATGACTTAAAATTTGTGTGTGTAGAGGAAAATATGTAGATCTCAAGAAATGAAAATACTAACGTCTCATAAAAGCTTTTAACACCAGTACTGTGAAAGAGATGGTAGACATCTTCAGAGTATTGCATACAGATTAAATTGCAATGAAAACAATCTAAATTGATTAACTATGAAATGGATTATCAGTAGAAACAGAGTCTACTTTCAATTCATCCTGTCTTGATCACATGTATTTAACAAGTACCATAAACATTTTAAAAAGCTGTTGACCCAGGGCTGGAGAGATGGCACAGTGGTTTAGAGCACTGAATGCTTTACCAAAGGACCTTGGTTCAATTCCCAGCATCCACATGGCAGTTCACAACTGTCTGTAATTCTAGTTCCAGAGGATCCAACACCCTCACATAGAAATACATGCAGTCAAACACTAATGTACATAAAATGAAAATAAATATTTTTTAAAAGTATTTTACCCAATCTTTTGCAAATTCATGTATAACAGTGGTAATAAGGACCCTTGGCTCTTCATCAAAGACAGAGAAGCTCATTTTGATATTGTAGAAGAAAACTGTAATTAAAGATAAAAATAAATAGGTTAATTTTAGTTATTTATGTTAAGAATATGACTTCTTTACAGGCAGTGGTGGCACATGCCTTTAATCCCAGGACCTGAGAGGCAGAAGCAAGTATATCTCTGAGTTTGAGGCCTCCCTAGTCTACAGAGCTAGTTCTAGAACAGCCAAGGCTATGCAGAGAAACCCTATCTCAAAAAACAAAAGAACAAAAAAAGAAAGAAAAAGAAACCCGACTTCTGAAAATTAGATCAGAAGTACTCTCCATTGTAAAGAACACAAAACAAAGATTGTTTTCATTCCTAAATTTTGTTTACTTTGATATTAAGAATTGACATTTTTGGCTACATAACCAAGAAATTTTTGCTTTGATTATGTGGCCATTTCCCTGGATTTCTAATGGTTGATGGACTTGCAATAACTCCCCTAAATTCTCTACTCTCGTTGGCCAACTGATTTCCAGCTCATTCAACAGTGACAGTAAATGCTATATGTCTTACGATATATAACCTAAAAAAATAATTGTTTTCTACCCACTGCCTTCCTTCCTCCTTTAGATTTTTCTCTTTATGCCCTTCTCAATCTTGTCTTGTCATATGTTTATTTTAGAATCTTAAAAGTTACAGACCCAAGCCAAAGAAATGGCTTAGCAAATAAAAGCTCTTGCTACCAACCCTGATGATTTGTTTGATTCTGACTAATACAAGTTGTTCTTCTTCCACAAGCAGACAGTGATATACACATGTCCATACACGTAAATAGATAGATAGATAGATAGATAGATAGATAGATAGATAGATAGATAGATAGGTGGTGGGTAGATGGTTTTATAGAGTAACTAAGTTAAGTTCAGTTCCCAGCACCGGTATGATGGCTCACAAATACCTATAGTTCCATTTCCAAGGTATCTGACACCTTTTTCTGGCCTCTTTGGGCACCAGGCATGGATGTGGTGGTGAACATACGTAAAAAAACAAAAATGAAACAAATTAAGAAAATATTTAAAAGGTTGTAGTACTGTCCAACATTTGAAGAATATGGAAGCCAAACACTCCCTAACTATGGATAAGCATTTCTATCCAGCTATATGTAGGCATTAGAAAGGGCTCAGACCTGCACAGGAGTAATTCAAAAGGCAAGGTACATTATGTGTGTGTGGTTGGGGTGTTGTGTGCATGTCTGTATGTGTGTGTGTGTTTTCTATTGTGTGATAAAAATAATCAGACATAAGGGTATATAACCCTTTATTTATCTGCTCATTTGTTTGTTTATTTATTGTATGTATGGGTATTTAGCCTACATGTATATCTGTGCAGGCCAGAAGAGTGGGTCAAATCTCCTAGAACTGTAAAATAACCTGGAAATGTAGTGGCAGGGGCTTTTGAGCTTCCATGTGAGTGCTGGGAATTGAACCAGGCTCCTCTGGAAGAACAGACAGTTCTCTTATTTAATCCATCTCTCCACCTATCCCACCCCCAGTATGATTCTTTTACATGGTAAAGATGAGTTTCCTAGTCTGTGTTCACATGGGAAGGGTCACAGTGAAAAAATCAAGAACAAACCAACTGAAAGGGAAGTTTTAAGATGCCATACTGAGTAAAAAGAACCAATTGTAATACATTTCAACAAAGATAAGACATATAGTTAGATAGTTATGTGCTTAGAGAAGGTACTTGTGTGCCAAGGATTTTAAGGAGATAAGAAATACATACACGGTTTTCCTCTTTTCTGCCTTCAGAGAACTTGGAGAACACAGAACACAGAACACAGAACACGCACTCTGTTAAGCATATATAAATAAAATACCTGTAGACACTGTGGTAATTGGTGAAGTAGATGCTTGTGTAAATAAGAAGGAAAATGTGGAGTTCATCCAAGTTGTCTCAAAAGATGAAGAGATTAGTGAAGACTCAGTTGCTGTAGAAGGGTGTGTCATTTCAGTAGACATCAGTGGAAACGAGGCACCTGTAGTAGTGGTTATATGCAGAACAGTGTCCAGTGTGGATTCTGGAGGAATTAAAGTGTGGGATTGTGATTGTACTTTACTCCATACAGATGTTTCCATAGGGTTTGATAGGTCATGACTGGTTATAGAAGACAATGTACTCATTCTACTAAAGGACATGGATTCAGGCACAGTTGTGAAGTTTTTGGCCACAGGAGTTCTGGAGGATGATTCAAGGAATGTAGATGTGTATAGACTGTCATCTTTGGGTTTTGTAGATATGGGGAGAGAAGTCAAAGAGTCAAGAGTGATGACACCCAGTGTAGCTACAGGAATGGCTTGTGTGGGTGTGGCACTTCTATCAGAACGGAGTACTATTGTAAAGTTAGGGCATGTTGCTATCATGTCAGAAGATGGAAAAGTGGATTCTGACACCTCTCCTGCAGGTGAAGTTAAAAACTGAGGAGGATTAGATACAGATGTCAGAGAGTCTGAAGGGAGACTAGATAAGCTCCAAGTCTGTAAAGTAGCCTTGGAAATTACAGAAGAATTTGGTGAGAGTGTGGTTTCAGGGGTTACCAGCATGGATGTTTTCTCAAATGTGTACTTAATGGCAGCCAAAGTGGTTGGGAGAACTGTGGAAGATGTTGATAATGAAGTACTCCCAGAAATCCCAAAAGTAGGAAGGCTTTCTGATGTGAAAATAGATGGCATTGTTGTAATATCTCTAGAGACCAGACCAATCTGAGATGTTGGAGATGTTGACAAAGTCCAGGGAGTAAAGTGAAGAGGGTCTGCTTCCATTCTGATGGGTGTCATTGCAGTAGTTGTGAAAAATGGAAACTGAGAGTCTTCAACTCTGGGTGTGTTTCTGGAAGTTGTAAGTGGAGACTTGGCAGTACTAGTTGTAATTCTTATACCCCATGCTGGAAATTCATCCTTTTGAGATGTAAGAGGAAACTTGGCCTCAGTACTATCAGGTGAGTAAAAAAATGATGTCAAAGAAGATGTAATTTTACTGGCTTGGGTCCATGAAGGGTATAAAACAGGAGTGTTCAAGCATGTGCTGCTCTTTGTTATTTCGCTTGAGAACATACTCTCTGACAAGGAAGTTGTCTTTCCTGTATCAAGGGAAGAGTGTGTTACTGTGGGCTTTACACTTTCTGTAGGTCTAAGGGTGCCTCTAAAGTTAGTCAAAGATGGGAAAACCTGAATATTCAAGGAAGTATAAAAACTATCTGAAGGAGTAGATGAAAGCCCACTTGCAGGTACAGTTATTCTGGAATGGGCATTAATGAGCTCTGTCACTCCACCACTGTTCTCAGTAGATAGGAAACTGTTGGTGATCCCGGGTAATATGTCCAGAGTGGTAGCCTCATTTTTTTGTGGTGATTGTTGGGTTGTTGAAAGTAATGATGAAAACATGGTTTTTGGAATGGAGGTAATATCTTCAGTATTCTTAGAACTGAGCTGAGAGGAGGGAGTGATGTCTATAACTGAAGTCACTGTCCGAGCCACACTAATGGTTGGAATAGTTTTCATAGATGAAAAATCTAGTTCTACTGGAGAGGAAACAGGTGTAGTTGTGTTATTGAATGGTACCTCTGCCATTTCTGAAATAGTGAAAGTAGATGAACCCACTGTGCTTTGTGAAGTAGGCCCAGAATACACTGGTGTGATATCCAATGTTGATGCTTGAGTGGTTTTCGTAGTCTTGGGAGGAGATGAAGACAGTGAAGTAAAGAATGTGCCAAGTCTTATGGAAGTGTCAGAAGAAAGCACTGTAGTTAAGAAATCAGAGTTATTAGCTGGCATTGAGGACTTCTCAGACGTAAGCCCAGAAGTACCTATGGAGACACATTTCAAATCACCAGAGTGTGTTGTTCTAGAAGATTTAGTCATTAGCATTGTGGGGGTGTTAGAAACTCTTTTGGAGGTAAAGGCAGTGACACTGAGTGGCAATGAAGCCATTTGGTCAATAGAAGTGGACATTTCCATAGAGGTCTCCTCAGGAAAGTTTGTAAGTTCATTTGGAACTGAAAAGACTGTAGTGCTCCCATCGGGAGTGATCATCGTAAAATTGGTGTTGAGTAGTCCAGTTGTGAAAGGAGAGAAGGACTTGAGGAAAGTCTGTGTGCTTCCAGAAGTGGAAGAAGCAATCCATGTCGCTGCAGGTTGTGTCTTAAGTGAAAGCAGGTGTGAAAGAGTTGTGTTGATGAGCACAGGATGTGATATTCTAGTTGTCCTGGAAGCATCTGCAAATAGAGTAGCCTGGTGACCTGTAGCTGGGTGAGTCACAGGAAAAGAACTCACTATCTTTTCCACAGTCTTGGGAGGATATTCTGAAGGGGCTCTTGTCCTTTCTTTATCAGGAGACAAAGACTTGGTTATTGTCGGAACGTGTGAAGGGAGTGCAGTTTTTTCAAGAGTAGTTGACCCTTCTGAAGCATTAACACATATTTTGGCACTTGAGGTCAATGTTTGTGTGGTCTGTCTGCTCCCAGAAGTAGAAGATGTGCCTACATTTCCAGAAGATGGATAACCAGGTAGAATCTCTGAAGGCAAATGTGTTCGGTGGCTGGAGACTTCTGTGATCTCAGAAAATTCTGTGCCTGTCATTTTCCAAGGGAAAGTGCTCTGGGAGTTTGAAATAAAGGAATTCTTAGATGGGGAAATTTCTGCCACCCTTGTAGTCCTGGGGGTTTTCCGCATGGAGATGTTGGTCTGCTCTTTGTCCAAAGACAACACAGAGGTGGCAACCACCAATTGGGTGGAGACTGGTGTGTTTATGAAATTTGTGGTAGATTCACTGTCGACTAAGGTAGTAAACCTATTGGCAGCGGTGTGGGGTGACATGCTCTCACCAGCAGCAGAGGTCTCTGTGGGTCCAGAAGCCATACTGACATCTACAGCACTACTAAAAGCGTAAGGAAAGCTAAAACCATGAGTTGAAGCCTCAACATGAGATGCAGGTGTTGTTGCTACTGATGTAGATGCAGTTGAGCTAATGCAAGTAGAGGACACAATGGTAATGTTATTAGCAGGAGGCCTTGAACAGACAAGAGTGTATATGGATGGACTTACTAAGTCAGCTGAGATGGAAGGAAGGGTGGTTATAGCTTTAGTTATCACAGGAGTGGGAGGCCTCAGCGAGGTTACCATAGTCTCTCTCAGAGAAGAAACTGCCATGAATGCTGCTGTGGAAGAGATCTCTGTGACTTCTGAAGTGGCATGAAGTGGGTCTATGTGGGTAGACATGATATCATTGCTTGTGGAAGTTTTTGGACTCATTGGCAGCACCAATTCTATGGTCTTTGTCACTGTTGGTACAGTTAAGCCAACTGAGAGCATAGATGTAGTGAAATCCCTGGCCAATGTAGATGGCTGGGACAAGGTAACCTTAGACTCATCAAAACCCACCATAGTGGTGGCAGGAGAGGTGAGAGCAAAGCTGTTAACTGGCAGTGAGAGCATGTTTGTAATACGTTGAGGGGTTGCTGAGGAGTGAGGAGCTGCAGTCTGTTGAGGCAAGATACCAAGCGACAAAGACACAGCTGTCTTCTGTGAAGGAGCAGTGGAGAAAGTGGTTCCCATCATCCTTGTTATTGAAGAAGTCAGAAGTTCAGGGAATGCCTGGGTGCTCATAGAAGTGGGTGGAGAAGCCCCATTCCCTTCAGCTGTCTCTGAAGTCCAATATACTACATAGGTGTGAGACCTGTTAGAGGTTTCTGTAGTTCCATTGTATGAACTCCTAGGTGTGCTTTTCATCATTTTTGTTGAAAGCCAACTGACTCCCATCTCAGCAGTTGCAGTTTCATTATTCAATGCATTAGTCAATTCTTCTGTATCTGGAAAAGGGGAAACAGTGACAGAAGCTGTCACCATTTGTGCTGATTTATCTGTTGTTTCCAACACTGCTGAAAATGGAGAAGCCTTAGCTACTGCTGCTATGGTTGACTTTACCTTAGGATGACAGGAAGTGGGTTTGTTTGTCACAGTGGTAAAGACCTTCTGTGTCGTTGCAGACATTGGTAGAGGGGCCATAGTATCATCAAATGTGCTCACATAATTTGTTTCTATTTGTGTTGTTTCAGAAATGCTCTTTTCAGTAGAAAAATGTGGTGTAATGTCAGGAAGGGTAGACACATCCACCGAAGGAACAACTGTCTCCCTTGGTGTTGAGGGAAGTTCGTTTGCAGCTACTGTGGGTGTAGAGCTGCTTTTCAGTACTAAGGTGCTGAGTTTAGATTCAAGCTGACTGGGTATAAAGGTGATTTCAGACAAACTGGAGAAGTTACTAAGCCCCTGGGATGTTGGTTTGGATACAGCTATTGTATACTTGGCAGTAGTAGCATCAGAGCTGGCGGTAGCCTTGTTCTCTGTGGGTGCTTCAAGTGGGGTGATATTTGCGGTCATAGATGAATGATCTATATCAGTAGTATTACCTTGGAATAATAATGTGAGATTTTTATTGGGTATGAATGTAGGTATGGTGGTTGTATTCATAGAGGTCAATGGGGTCTGACCTGATTTAGAAATCAAAGTTGTCTCATTGGTGAAGAACTGACAGTCTGTTTTATTTGTTACGGGTGTGAGACCTGATTCAGATGTATTGTACGTTGAAGGTGATTTAGTAAATATTAAAGTAAGCATGGGCTCATCCGTTGTAGGTGCATTCTGGGTGTATGCTAGCCCTTCCATGGTGGAGCAAAGAGAGACTTCAGCCAATGTAGGAACAAGTTTGGTTCTGGGAGGTGAGGCTGGATATGTACTCTTAGTATCAATAACTATCTGTTCATCCTGGATTCCAGTGACTGGAGAGGATATAATGGAAGAAAAGACTGTGGAAGAGGTCTCTTTAGGCATGGGAGAAGACATAGCATGCACCACACCGGGTGAAAAGACATCCTGGAAATTTGTAGGCACTGACTCTGTTTTCAGTGTTCTTAGGGAAGGTATGGTCTCCATAGGCAACCCTGAATGGGCCATGAAAGGTATTTCCACCTCAGTTCCTGGCAAGGTAGATGCCACCCGATTTCCAGTAAATACAGAATTCGAAGGAGCAGCTGTGGAGGTGAGCAAAGACTCTGGTGGGAAGGCTGATGCAATCCCAACATCAGTAGCAAGAGCTGAAGTCTCTTCTAATGTGGACCAAGACAAAGTTCTGGCAGCTGAAGATATAAGAAATTCTTGTCCAGATTTAGAGGTAAGGGGTATAGCCACATCTGTGGATTTGTGTTTGGGGCAAGATGTTGTAGACATGATTGTTGACTCATTCATCGAGAATAAAGTTGTTTTCCCAGACTGGGATTTAGTTGCTAGAGTTTCAGATACAATATAATTCTTGGTGATTACAGGTGTGTCAAATAAATAAGTAGCTACAGTTGGATGAAAGGCCTCAGTAGTCATGGCTTCCACCATTTTTGTTGTCTTTGTTTTTCCTAGATATGGGTGTTCTGTTATATCTGTGGAGCCAGTAGCAGTATGAATGAATGTACGCTGGATAGGCAAAGGGATGGTTGTCGACACATACAAGATACCTGCTGAAAATGGAGCTGTCTGGGCTGTAGATGTGCTTAACTCTTTTGATGCATTCACTGTTGCTAGAGGTGAGGGTAATGTATGAGAATATGAGATGGCTGCATGATTCACTGTAAAAGCAGGCTTGCTTTCTGGAAACACTGTGGATGAATGTACACTCTTCTGTGGATTTAGCCCAGTAATTTGGGAAGGAGCTGTTAGGTCGAATTGCTGTGAAACAGTTGTACTCATTTCTTGAATTTTCATATTTTCAGAAACAACTGAAAAATCAGAAAGCATGTGTTACTTGAGATTCAGCCTTAGAAATTAGGGACAATTTTTTAAGAAAGAGTTCTATAATTTCTTTTCATTTTAAAGAGACATGAGTATCAGATATAATCATGTTGTTTGAATACTTAATTTTTCTTGAGATAATTTTCTACTTTGTAAATCTCTACCTGATTTTCATAATACCCTGGTAAATAACTTGTAGGAAAGCATCTATTACATAGTATCTCCATAAAAGATATGGGCACTTTTACAAAACTGTACACTGATTGAGGTGATTCACTTTTGGAAAGGGACCTATCAAAACTCATGGAAGAATAAATCAATAGCTTGATTAGTTTCACATCCATTACTGAAACTCAGTTTTGAAGTTAAAAATCTCCCCCAAAATGTGGGCTTTAGATTCACACAAGTGCAGTTGCCCTTGGTCAAATTTCTATCACTCATTTGAACACTGAAGTTTGAAAATGTTCTTATCGGGAACCTCAGGATCAAAAAGTCTTGACCCTTTGACCATTTATGTATACCCATATGAGTATATATGTATTGATAATGCATCCCTGTATATATTGTAAATCTGAATTATAAACATTATAAAAATGTCAAAGGCTGGGATAAAATAAATACAAATGTTAATACTTCTAGCACCCTATCATAGTGTCTTTCTTTCCATATGACAATGCAATCCTGCTTTGAAGACCATAACAGCAGAGCTTATACTCCTTTCAAATCAATTAAATGTCACAAGCATGGTGAATACCATGAGAAATAGAAAGTTTTCTAGCATGTTTTCTTCCTTGAAAGAATTCATACTCTTATTGGGAAAGTTACATATTATTGAGATATTTTGCTCTATTTTTTGAGACATGATCTCACCATTTAATTCAGACCTAAAATTCACTATGTCACACAGGCTAGCCCAACTCAGGATCTTCCCACCATATCTTGCTGAACACTTAAAAGCACAGGTATGTGCTACCACACCAGGCTTGAACTGTTTTCTTAAAATAAGATAATATTTTAAGGAAAAGAAAAAAAATACAGAATTTCTAATAAAGACAACAATGATCCCATTCAGATTCTAAATACCATTGATGTATAATAGAAAATCAGTGCATCAAAAGAGCAAAACTGGCTCAAAGATAATGAAGAGGTGTCTTCTTAGAAGATGGCTACCTTTGAGCAATCATGGGGTTTGAGTGGAGAAGACAAAGACACATGGCAGTGAATATGGATGGATAGAGGAAAAAGTCAGTCTACCTAGGAGTGAGAGGCATTATGTACTGAAGACATTGATGGTAAAGTATACAGATGAGACTGGATCTAAAGGGAAGGTAACATACTCTCATGTATAGAACACTTATTCCAAGCCAAGTTCTGTGCCGCATGCCATCTTGTTTAATCCACCAAACCACTTTTTGTGGGAAATATAAGTTCATCTGGAAATTCCAGGTTCCCCATCTGTTTGTGCAATCTATCATGGATGGACCCAGTCACAAGAGGATACATTTCTCCTTCTAAAAACTCATGATCACCAACCTCAAATGAGCCTTCCACAGAGCCTCCTACTAATTCTTGCTGTTTAGCTCATGCTCCTATTCTACAATAACCCTTTCAAACATGCCCCATTGTCAAACACCACCTCCACATGTTTATCGGATAATCATGCCTCCTGCTTCAAAGGAAAAAGTAATTGAGATCATCAGACAGAAGTTCAACTCTAATTTAGATCCTGTCATCTGCAATTTCTCAAACTTTGCCTTTCTTTTCCCTAATGAGCCTTTCCCTCCTTGTTTAAAACTTATTTCCTCTCTTGCAGTAAAAATGAAAATGCCATATACCTCTGCCCCATCTCTCCCTCCCCATCACATCTAACATTCTTTAAAGTTATTTATGCCAGATGTCCCCATTCCTCTAGCTCCTTGTCTGGACCAAACATTGACCTAACCCTTCTTCTCCTTTTATTCTATGGTTTTTACCCACCTACACTCTCAATTTACACCAATGAGTCTCATCTCTCTAGGATAGATCTCTATTCTAAACTCCACATTTTTAAGAACCAATCATTCACGTGTCACCATCTTTTGGCTACTTCATTAATACCTCAGACTGAACATACTTTAAGTTGAACATGTTATCTTCTTTCTATATTGGGTCTTCTAGTATTTCTTCACTGAATAGTCTATTCAGTTATGCCAGCCTAAACCTTCTCCAGGTACCTCTTCCATTCTCTCCCTCCCTTGCCATAACTAATGTATCAGCTTGTCCTAGGTATTATACCTACTAAATATCTCCTGGACTATTGAAGTCCTATTGATTCTATTACATTAATATTCATTAATTTCTTTTGATCTCTATTACCTTTCAACAGCATCATATTCTCTTTGTGTTTGTTTTTCTCTTATTTTTGAAATGATAATATAATTACATTGTTTATCCTTTTCCTATATTCTCTCCCAACCTTCCCATATACCCTTGATCACTTTCAAATTCATGGCCTCTTTTCTCATTAATTGTTTTTATGTGCATATATGTGTCTATGTATATACATTACTAAATATAACCTGCTCAGTCTGTATAATCGTGTGTGTGTGTGTGTGTGTGTGTGTGTGTGTGTGTGTTGGGCTGAGCATTTGGTATTGGGAAACCAATTAGAGTGTTCTTCACTGGGTGTTCTCCCACTGTCAGCATTCTTTAGTTAACTGTGAAGTCTCTGCCACTACTCTTGAGTGCCTTCCATTCTGTCTCAGATGCAAAAAGAAAGAACATTTGGAAATGTAAATCTTGTTCTGTCACATACACACACACACACACACACACACACACACACACACGTACCTTTAATATTTTCCATTACTCACAGAGTGAAGAATATATTGCTTAAGAGAGCATGTTTGATTTCTTACCTACTTAACTAGTGTAAATGTGGGCTTTACCCTACCCTTTCTTCTGAGTTTCTGCCCTCAACTCTCGACTCCCCCAATCAAGAGTTTAATTCCACCTTAAGAGATTTACAGGTGCTTCTGCCACTATTTACAGTTTCCTTCACATTTCTTCATGTCAGTAACATCTACTCAGCCTTCAGATATCAAGTCTTCAAAGAAGCCTCCCTTCCCAAATGCCAATGACAAGCTCAAGCTAATCTACAAGAACTATTGGGATGCCACTTATCTCTTTCTTATAGCACTTATTACAGCTGCAGTTTTACACAGTGTGTTCCTACATGTCTGCCTTCCTCAGGAAGACATATGGACAAAAACATCATCTTACCCTGCTCACCATTGTAAACTAAGTTTCTAGTGAGTGCCTAGATCAGTATAGAATTTGTGGATTACTAAAGAAATAGAAAGCATGAGATCAAAATAATGGGAAGATCTCTGTGCCTACAGCTACTATAGAGAAACTGCTGGCATGGTGTGGTAACAAAGAAATTAAGACACACAAAGAAGACAGAGAACCCACAAAGGTTACACACTTTGCTTCGGGGAAAATCACAGAGGACTGGTAATGTTCACAGAAATAAGTAAATATGCTGTTAGACCCGCATATGTGGAACTTGAGGTGAGGACAGAACATCCACATGAAAATGACACTCAGTAAAATTCACAAGTGAGTCACAATCTTTCAATTCAAATCTCTCAAATAAAATCATGCGTATTTATCTTAGAGAAACTGGCATTTGGAATCCATCTTCCTCAGAAGCATATTATCTATAAAGTAGAAATAATTATGGTAGTAGAAAACTACTTATGTCACAGCTTATGTCACAGCCTTGATAGTTAATTCCACTTGCATATACAGAAAATCCCAAGTGTGTATAGGGTACTTTAAGATTTTGTTGTCATGAGAAAGTAAAACTAGTAAGAATCAGAAGTCTTCAAACAGCTATAAAAACCAGTTAATTAAAATGCATTAATAATGGGGAAGTAAAAATTAACTGAAGAATGGATGAAGAAATGTGGCACATTTACACAATAGAATAACACTGTTAAAAACAAGGACATTTTGAAATTTGTAGGAAAATGAATGGAACTAGAAAAAAAATCATCCTGAGTGAGGTAACCAAAACTGCATGAATACATAGTGTGTACTCAGAAGTGAATATTAGCAATAAAGTACAGGATAACCATGCTATGACCAATAGACCAAAAGATGCCAAGTTACAGAAAGGACCCAAGGGAGAGAACTGAAATTGGAGGTGGGTGTCATCTCTGGGATTTGCCAGAGCCCTGGGATAGGGGAGGTCTCACAAAAATTTAAGGTGGCACCATCCTTGCTAAGACTCCTAGCAGCTGGGGACATGGAGCCCAAAGTGACCAGGCAGGACTCCAGTGGAGGGAAAAGGACACCAACCCACCCACAAAACCTTGGCCCCAAAATTTGTCTTGCCTACAAGATGTGTAGGGACAAAGATGGAGCAAAGACTGAGGGAGTCGCCAACCAAAGACTGGCCCTACTTGAGACCCATCCCATGGAAGAGAACCAGTCAGTGACAATATTACTGTTATGCTGCTATGCTTGTAGACAGAAGCCTAGCATCACTCTTCTGGGAGGCTTCATCCAGAAACTGATGGAAACAGATGCAGAGACCCATAGACAATTGGCTGAACTCAGGGTATCTTGTGGAAGAGTTGGGGGAAGGATTGATGGAGCTGGTGGGGCAAAGGACTCTATAAGAAGACCTACAGAGTCAACTATTCTGGGCACTTGGGGGTTCACAGAGACTGAAATACCAACCAAAACAACATGCATGGGCCGGACCTAGACCCCCCCCCCTACACATATGTAGCAAATATGCTGCTTGGTCAACATATGGGTCCTTTAACAATGGGAGAAGGGGCTGTCTCTGCCTCTGCTACCTGCCTTTGGATCCATTTCTCCTATCTGGGCTGCCTTGTCTGGCCTCAGTGGGAGAGGATGTGCTTAGTCCTGCTGCAACTTAATGCACCTGGGCAGAGTGGTACCCATGGAGGAACATCCCCTTCCCTAAGGA